ACAACCATCAATGCAGTGACGTAAGTATGCCCCCACAATTGGAGGGGGCTAAAAGGGGCCCCGAATCAGCCAGAATAGTAACTATAACTATAGAGAAATAAATTCACGGGACCCAATTATTTTTATGTGGGGAACCATCTCTTGTAGTTATACCACTGCATAAATGACAAGAGTATCATTATGCATCACAGTTGATGTAGTTTCCTCCACTTCCATGGTGGCCAATCCACCACCATCCAAATTGTGTCATGACCAACGCCATTAGCAGCCAAGGTTATAGCTCCAAATAACCACCACCACCTGCTCTACTCTGCAACAGATCACAATAGTAAAATGGCACTTTTAAGGGCAGGTCACAAACTGGACAGAGGCATGGTCACTCTAGATTAAGGATGAAGACCAGCTGCAGTAGCACATAGAACCACCATCTTAGCTGAAGGAGGAAATCCGATGTCTGCAGGACAAACTGTCCTAAATTAGGAAGGTCGTGACAAAATCCAGGGAAATAATGTGCGGGTCTGCCGTAGCCAGCAAGAAATTCACTACTGCACTACAGGACTTTTTGTCAGGACTCAAGTGAATGTGAAAGAGTTTTTTAACTTTGAATTACATTGTACGTTTTATAAAGTGTCAATAACATGTTTAGTTTTACTTCCCACTTGGTTCCTTTCAATTAGTGTTTATTATTTTTATTTTGTTTTTGTCATTTTGTTCTTATTATATTCCTCATTATACAGAACACGTTGTACATAAAGTGTGATATTACTTTTTTGAGTTAGTATTGTAACCATTTCATTTAATATCAAATGTTGCCATTTTATTTTGTATTTTCTGGTATCGAGATCTACATTTGTATATCTTGTAAACATGTGTAAAGTTCTGGTTAAGTTGTACCTAATGTGTAACTATGTATAAAATTTCATTATTTAATATCAAGGGTTTATTGTGCATACTCATCTTTTTCCAGGCTTATTTTATTTCAATATGATTTTAAAGGGTTAAATTATTTCATTTAATGTAAACAGATTTGTTCTGCTTGTTGGTATAAATTTTTCTTGTTCCTGCTATTGATATGTATATTTCATTATATATAATAATGTGATGATGAAGGATTTCTTTTATTAACAATGTGCTATCAAACTATTTGTTTTATGTCACTTTTTTTTAATTTTAAGGGAGGTGATTTTTGTATGTTATTAGAGGTGTTACGTCTCCGTTCCTTAGTTGATTTTCCGTAACTCCGTTCCAACGAAACTTTAGCGACACAAGTCCTTTCTTAATAAAACTGGTTTATTCTTTCTGAATATAACTTTACCGATACACTTATTTTCAACAGTCGCTCTATAACAAACGCTATAACAACGAACGTTAACTTCAACAATACTTTCTGACTGCAGTTCAATTACTCATTACCTACACATACATTGTTACGTCACGCCGTGACCATCTTATATATACCAGACCACCCCCAATCTAGCAAATGCTAGAGCACTCCCGAAGGAACAGGATAGTTCTAGAAAACGGGTGGCATGATACTAGTCACGTGATCTCGCTGACGCAACAGAGGATTATATTTTATCTCATTTTAATCTGATTGTAAAAAATATATAAAAGAGTATGCATTATTTTGTCTCCATTCTAACCTGATTTATTCTGTTTCTTGGTCTGGGCTTTGTAAAAATAAATACTTTTTATCATTAATTACAAAGGTATAATGTTGTTACTGATCAAATTTAGTTTTATGCTATGAGTTGGCTTGAGCTTGGAAAGACTGATTTTTATGTTATCATTAATGTTATAACCTGCTGTTAACGTATTTATATTATTTTTAGTTATGTTCTCTGTTTTGTTTATATGTTGTGATGTGTAAATATTTACAAGTGCGAGAGAAATTCCGATTTCTTGACCGACACATATTTTTATTTAATTGTTTTCGAAAAATTTGAAGTTAGGAATAACCTGGATGCCTGAAGATAAAGGGTAAAGTATGGTATGCAGGCATACTATGTGTTTTATACCCCTTGTTTAAAATTAAATATTTCAAAATTCAAAAAATGCTATTTTAGATGTATTGTTAATTTCCAATATGGAAATGATTTATAGGATGGAGAGTGTGAAATATAGAGGTGCAAGTGCTCATTGCTCAATTAGGTTTGATGTTGTTTTACTGTATAAGCATATCACGAATAATGATATTTTGCTTGTAAATTTCAAATAACCAAATCTTGAAGAGTTGCGATAAGAAATATTTATTCGGTATTAGTCAACTGGCTTAATTGGAATACTAATCAAAAATTTTTTAATTGTTCAAGATAGATATATTCTTAACAGAAAAAAAGGTGGCTGGAATTTGGTTCACAAAAAGTATAAAGGATCAAATTAAAGAAAAGCATTACAAATTTAATAAGTTTAAATTGGGTGTTATAATTGGAAATTTAAAATATTATCGAAGATCAAGAAAGATGGTAACCTAAAAGGGTATTTGAAAAAAGCTTGGCTGAAAATGTAAAAATGAACATTAAGAATGTATTCAAAAACATTAAGGGTAATCAGAATATTAAGATGAGAGTAGGGGCTTTGAAGGATGATAAAAGAAGGCTCATTTTTGATGATTATGAGATGGCTAGTTTCCTAACTTGTACTTTTTTTGTAAGTTTTTACTAAAAAGTATTTAAGCAGTATTTTTCATCCTGAAAAGTTGCTAGATAGAAGCATGGTCGAACAAGATGATTACATTGATTAAGTTAAAAGACTGATAGGGTTCCTGACCCACATTATATTTTCCCAGGTTTGTTTTAAAGGAGGCTAATGATTAGACGTGTGAGCTATTTGTATTTCCTTGAATAGTAGGTAGGTTCTGAAAGATTCCCAGTTGGGGTACTTTAAGGCTCAGTGTAAGGACCTTTGATATAAATACAAAGGTGCAATGATAGATGAAGGAATAGTCAATAAATTGCTTACATTTGCTGATGATATTAAGGTTTTGCCTGTTTCTGACTGTGAGAAGAACGCTGTTGCTTTAGAAAAGGATTTTGATAATATGGTGAGTTACATGAATAAATGGCAAATGGTTTTCAATTGTAATAAATGAGAGGAAATACGTGTGGGTTATCATAATTTAATTATAATTTGACGGGAATTAACTTTACAGTGTTATGGAAGAAAAGATCGGTGTTTTGGATGATCAGTCTCTTAAACCATCAAAGCAACGTGCTGTTGCTAGTGGTAGGGCAAATAGGATTTAGAGTTGTAATTACAGACATATTAAATGTATGTCTAAATATTGGAAAAAGAACAGTTAGAGGATGACTGATTGAAGTATTTAAGATTATTAAAGGAATTAATAATGTTTTATTAGTTTGAATGGTTAAAAAAGTATCTTACTAGCAAGTACTAGGTGGTTATCATTCTCTCTCTTAGCTGATAGAACTCTTTCCTGGTATATGACAGACCTTTGGTTGAAATCCTATCAAGAAAATATATGTGTATTGAAAAATAAGTTACCAATAGAAAAACTGACGTCCAACTATCCTTACATAATGTTTTTCTTTACTTAATGGTGAGAATGATAGAACAAAGAGACACAAATATAAAATTTTGCAAGGTATGAATCATATTAGGCTAAAACAGTTTTGTTGTGAGCTATATTTTCAGTGTCATAATTCGAATGTTTGTTTGAGGGGGCTGCTAACCATGATGATGCTATAATCAAGAATATTTGTCTAATATTTACAGGTAAGTGTAACATTATTTACAACTATAAGTAATAAGGAATGAGAGAGAAATTAGCTTATTTAGTAAAGAATATGAATTCAGTGAAGTATTCAATGTGTTAATCATCGAGTAAAGTTATTCACTTAGAGTTGCTTCTGTAAGCTAATCAGTAAGTTAGTCAGCGGGTCCTGGCATGGCCTAATGGTTATGCCCCTTGACTCGCAACCTGCGAAACGCAGGATCGAATCTCTTTACCGAATATTGTCAATCCCACTATTCATTGGTAAAAGAGTAACCCACGAGGTGGCGGAGAGCGGTGTTGACTATCTGCCTTTTCTCTAATCTATCACTTCAAAATTAAAGACGGAGAATGCATATTGTCCTCGAGTAACTTTAATCTAAATTCAATAAACAAACATAGTTAGTCAGCATTTGTTTTCAATCAAGGAAATCTATGTTAAACGTTATTAATGTGTCAGCTTTATAATACTCTCAGAGTTGAGATTGAAAAGTTTGTTTGTGAATTCTAGCTTACAACTTGCATTGAAATGAACGTAGCCTGAAGAAATAAATTAGTTCTTTATTGTTACTTAAATTGGGCTTATCAATTTTTTTCCCAAATAATTCAAAAAAGAACCTGCCCAACGAAAATACACATTACAGTTTTATTTTTCTAACGAGGTGTTTGACGTTTGGAATCGTTTGTCTTCAGATGTGGAGGATGCCGTAAATCGAAGGGTAGGTTTGATAAATATTTCAGTTATAAAAGCTGGCGTTGAATTTGTATTTATTTTAAGTTTAAATCCTCGATGGTTCAATAGGCTCCTTGCAGCTCTTAAAGATTATGGTAAAGTTTCATTTTTATAAAAGTGTTTAAAGAGTTTGAATTGAAATATTTATCAATTTTCATTCAATAACTTAGTACGAAAGTAAGCAGAGAGAGATTTACGTTTTCATTAATGCCATCTAATCATGTCTTTATATCTTAGATATAATATGAAAAAACATTTTTATTAATTAAACGTTATAAAAACGAATTAAAATATATTACGTTTCAACTAATTCACTAGCATATCTTTATAATACCTATAGAAATGTAACATTGATCCATTATACCGCAATTTCTCATTGCTTCAATAGAGTATATAACTTTTATAATAAATTATTTTGATAAAGAAAGGAAGAAAATAATATTTTACTGCAGAAAAGTAATTTTATAAGGAAGTTTTCTTTTCGTTCTTCAGTGGTAGGTGACGCTTTTTCTTCATCACGTGACGACAAGGCATTTCCGTAGAAGGCTATTTTTCTGGGAATTGGTATGTTGGAAACCGATTCGTCGAAAAGTTTTCGAAGGTTTGTTTCTTGACGACACACCACGACAACGAAGTAAACAGGTGTAAATAGTTGCTGCGTTACCAGGTAAGTAACAGTGACATAGAATTATATTTCATTTGGTATTTAAATCCAATGAAAACTGTTTTATTTATGCTACATTAGTCTTCAGAGGCTTTAGACTTTTTAGGGCCTAGTTAGGGTCTGACTCTAGTTTCAGTTAAGTTACATTGTAACTTGCTACTCCAAGTCGAGCTAGGCTCGGCTTCATTTGACTTTTTTAAGTTAAATTATTAAAACTAAGTTAAAACCTCCAACTTTATGCTTAGCAAAAAGGTTAATTTATGTATGAATGACTATGTAGCAGTCACAAATACAGCCATACGTAAAATATTGCATTTGTTTTTAAATTAAAGTACTAATTTTTACACTCACAGTTTATTTATAAATCATAAGCAAATAAAACTTGGGTGATAAATCATAAAGATACTAATCATAGGGAGAGATATTTACGTTGACTTTATACATGAACTTTAAGAGGCAGTTAGAGATTTGAGACTGTAGTGTTTGCCATTAAGATTTTAATTTTGTATTTTTACTACCTATTTACTGACTTTTTAACTTCTCAGTGAAGCCATATATTTTATCGCGAAACTTATTTAAATTCTAAATAAACATCAGTAAACGTTTTAGGCTATTAATAGTAAAACAACTTAAAAATTTCATTGAGCTTAATAACACTTAAGACCATTTTATTTATTAAAAAGGCTCATATATAGAACTAAAACTCATTAAAGTTATTTTATTTAAATAATTAGTATATGTTACTGCTTTGTAGTAATCATTTAGCAGATTATTTTTAAACTAACAAATTAAGTACAAATTATAGAATTGTTGGCGTAACACATTTTAACTACCTGCAAGTTGTTGTAGAAACAATTCAAATATTGCTTTGTACATTTTCTTATACAGTTTCATTATCCTTATTATATACAAAAAAAAAAAATCTGTGAAGTTTCACTACCTCTCAAGTAAGAAAATAATCACACTTTTAATTAACTTTACTGATAGGGCTGATGATTTAAATATCAAGCTTGATAGCCATTGAATATGTTTTTAATCATAAATATTTTTGTAAATATATAACGAATTAAACATTAAAGGACATAGTTATGTACCATGCTGTTACATAATACATCCAAAAACATCCAGACACATGTTTTATCTACAGAATACACCAATTTTGAGACTCGAGGTTCATTGGTACTTAGTACTGGTACTTGTAGGGGATGTTAAGTTCAGATGTATTGATTGGGATTGTATGCAGTTAAACAGTGATGGAGAAGTATTTCTTGAAATGATTAAGGATGGTTTTCTGTACTAAATGTTCAGAGAGCCAATCAGAGGGGATACCATGCTGGATTTACTGTTAACCTCTAAAGAGAATATAATTTCATCAGTTGAGGAGGGGAAACATTTATTAAAGACTGGATATTACCTAATTTGCTTTAATGTTTTGCTACATCTTGAGATAAAAAGAATTGAAATTATAGTTAATTCTCTGTATACAGGCTCAGTCATTTTGACCACTAAAGAACTACCTTTACATACTATAACTTTTAATGTAATGAGTTTTGTACCAACCTAAACAAAAAAGATACTGCTGCAACCAGGGTCAAACAAAAAACAATTTATTAAGTGTAACAACAGAAATAAAAAAACAACAACTTTCAAATGACTAGAATACAAATTTTATCACTTATGTAAAACAGTTAGTAACCTATGCTTGACCAGTGCTAGGTACAAATGCTAATAAACAATACAACATAAATCTAAGTGTAATTAATTACAATAAATATCAAAGGAATTAGGAAAACGAACAAAAATAAAAAAAACCTAATTCACCAGAGAATAACACAATATTTCAAAATTAAACCACTTCTCAATATTGGGCAAGAATTAACAATAATTCTTTCTAACTGTATCTCATGAACTAATCCATCTTCAAGATCAGTGAAGGCTTTTTATTTAGTGGTTTGACCATGAGGTTACATCTCATGTGTCAGCATTACTATAGATCTACATAATCTTTTACATCATTAATATAAAACTTGTTACAGTTTCATAATACATGCATACTCCAAATCAACTTGTTCTAGATAGAAGGTGAGTTAGCACTTTAATATAACTAAACATTCATAGATAAACTAAACAACAGTAGGAATAATACATGAATGGTAAACAAAACCATAAACTAAAAGTAGAATTCTCTATATCATAGCATATCACCACAAAATTTGGCAAGCTGTTAGTAAATATTACAAGTCGTTTGTACACAAAGAATCAGATTTTTTTAATTAAGCATTTTTACCAAAGATATATCTGATTCTAACTAGTCTCAGTGCAAGGTGATTTTCATGTTAAGATTAAAAATATTTTTTCATCTTACAGTTTTCAAATTTTGTTTGGATAACCTCTAGAACTGTTAATTGCAGCATATTATTTTCAGAATCTTTAGAACCTCCTAAATGAATATCAGAAGTTTTGTTTCTGTAAAACTTTATATTTTATCTGTTATTTTCTCTAACATAATACTGTATTAGCTCTGTCCATTTTACCTACTTAGGAACCATCACAGAAAAATACAAAATCAGTCTAAATTACCCTTTTTTTTTCCTATAATGACTACAGGTTGTAATAGAAAATTAAAATTTCTTAAAATTATTTATACTAAAAACCTCAGGCTTGTAATAGTTTACATATATTTTTATGAAATGTTAATGTTTTAGTGTTCTTTGAAGTGCGTCTAACCAACCAAACTTACATAATAAAACTGCAAACATCTGACAAGCAAATAGTTGAAGCTATAGTAAAATAGTCTTGAATTATGTAATGCACATGCAGCTTGTGTGCATATCTCGCTGAGAATTTTTTTTCCTTTTATGTTTTCTTATGTAACCCAATTTTACATTCTAGTTACTTTTAAAACAATACAAAAAAATATGTGTGAGTGTTGTACATTTTTATGTAGTCAAAGTCTGAAGTCTTTATAAAAGTTAACCCCAATTTTTGGTGAGGTTCTTGTTAGTACTTTACTGTTACCTTATTTATTTCACATATTCAGTTAGGAACACAAAACAATGTCCTATAACTATCATAATTTATCTCGCTTTCTAGCTAAGCTATAAGTATGTTAAAATGTTTCCCTTACTTGGTTTGAGTGATCTTGGAGATAGCAACTTTTACATCTGTAGGCTAGATATTTCAGAAGTTGTCATCCTTTTATGTAATTGAGTAAATTAAAAAATTTTCTGTTCATTATGAATAATATATTAGCAAATGTCAGAGAGAGAATTATTAACTATTTTTTTTTTTTTTTGAAAGATGGTATGTGATGGGAGGATGTGACATATGTTTATATCTCTGTAAATCAAGGTGATTGGAGGCAACTATAAAACTAGATAGTCTTAGTATTATCTATAGTATAAGTCTGTAATCTGTATTAAAATTCAAAAGCTGAAATAGGGATGGAAAGAATATTTAAATTGGGCACTTCTGAGCAAGCAGATGTCACGTGATAGAGGAAAGTGAAGATTGAAATTTATTTAAATATATTCTTTGAAATTAAAAAATTAAAACTTCTTTAGTACCAAAATTTAATTTATTAACCATGTTTTGATGCCAAACTTGTAGACATACTTTGATAATACAGTAATTTAATTGAATTTGGAATGTAAATCTGTAATAAAGGTCATGACATGCTCACTTTTACTTGCCCATATCTAGATAGTTAATGGCGATATGGAACAGGTTTGAGATTTTTTTTTAAATAAATTTATTTTAATTCAAAGTAGTCATTTTGTAAAAAGTGTAACAGGGGTGATCAAATGTTATTGGTTTACTAAAGAAAGATGAGAAGTTTAGGGATAACTGTCATGAGTTTAAGAAGTTTAAATTGAGAGAGGTTCATTATGTCAGAAAAACACATAGGTTCAAGAAGTCTTGATACAAAATGATAAAAAAAACCCTATAGCCTGAACACTTTCAAAAGGTGGACCTTTCTTCTTCAGGGGCAAACTGCTTGAGAGAAAGGTTGACAAACTTACAGAACTATAGGAAATCTAGGAATTTGGTTTAAAAAGAAATTAGGAAATGCAACAGGGCTCATGAAAAACGGCTGGCTGATAACGTCAATGCTTAACAGTTAGAATTTTTTAAGTTATATTAAAAGGAATAAAAATCTTAAAATAGGGATTGGGCCCTTAAAAGATGATGATGACAAAGTTTTTGTTGAAGAGTATGAGATGGCTGAGCTTTTAATTGTTTTCTTCTGTTTTTACAAGATAAGATGCTGGCAATGTTCTTGACCATGAGCATTCTATAGGAAGTACTGGAATTGACCTAAATGTATAGATATTAAATCCATGGTGATAAATAGAAAGATTGAGAGATTAAAATTAAAGCACAATGACTATACAAGTCTTTCCTCCCT